TAGAACATGAAAGTCCTGTTTCAGTTTTAGCACTCAGCTGTGCTGCGTTTGCTTTACTCAGTTAGTCTTCGATGCTTATTCTCTACTTTGTTTTCATCACAGTTTTCTAAAGAAGCAGCCTTTCTTTTGACTATCCAGTAATGTTTAGAAAATTTTCAGGGATCCTTGTCAGGAGAGAAGTTGGCAAAGTGGTGTTATCATTCCACTGCACATTGGACAACCTACCCTGTTATCAGAAAGTTGTTTCCTTGATGAGCTATCAAGACTATTACACCTCACCCCATGGTCTCCCTGATGGGTGGGCTATTATGTTTGGCAAAGAAACGTGGCATAGCACATCTATTTGAAGAAACCTTTCCTTCTCTGGAAGAAACATGTAATCTTGGTACAGCACCATGGAAAATTGTGCGGAGGCTTTATTGTTAGCCTGTTCTGGCACAGGACGTCTTTATTTGGGAGGTTGCTGCATCTTCACATACCATTTTCATGTGGCTGTCTTTGGATGCTCATGACAGATTGAAAGTTGTTCCTGTGACTATGTCTTAACCTCCAGGTGAGCTGAGGTGGTTAACAAGGGTGCCCTATGCTTTCTTCCAGTCATTAGGACTTTAAGAAGTCCTTAGAACTCCCTAATAATGCAATGATCCAAACACAAGTTCGGGCTTACCTTTGACCAAGATCCAGGCTGGCCTGCTCTTGTTTTCACTCTCATTTGTTCAGGTAGGTTGAATAAGGATCCATACATATAGTGAGCCTAGAATGAAGAAGCAGGGCTACCTTCTTGGGCATGTGGCCTGTGAAGTCACCAGGGCAATGTGCTGTGGAGGGCCCAGCACTCAGCTCAAAGCTCTGATGTAACCATTTCAAAATCTTGAATTCACTTCCAACAAGGTTCCCCACATTTCCATCGTGTATTGGTTCCCACAAATTACATAGCAGATCCTGCTCTGGGGTCATTAACTATCTCATTGACTGTGAGAAGATCCCAGAGAGTGACAAAGAGAACAGATGAGGTGGAGTGCCCAGTGGCAGGGAACACATGCTAAAGAAACAATAGACCCTGTCTGTGCTCATGTTATTTTTTTTTAATGATCTTTGTACTGCAGAGATTTCTGTTTTACATAAAGAACTTCTTGCTTCTTTAATTGTTATATTTACAAGTCAAGAAAAGAAATTCTTTGGAAGTGGAAAGAAATAGGGAGTGGATCCGGGGAAATGTGAGAGCTCCTTATTTAAAAAAAATTTTTAAAAAAATTTTGTGTCACAAGCAGCTTTGGCCAGCAAATCTGGCTCTGTTGCTCAAATTCCAGGGTCAGGACTTTCTATGGCTCCTTTCCAAATGGTGGCAGTCATGGCAGGTGCTCGTTCTTGTGATTATTATTGCTGCCTAATTTTCAACAGAGCCCACCTCCTTTATGTCTGTGCTCAAACGTCACCCTCTCTGTGAAGACCACCCTGTCCAGTCTGTTTCAAATTGGAAACCATTCCCATCCCCACTCCTGACGCTCCCGATTCCAACTACTTCACTTCTTTTCATTTAATGCACAAGGCTTGGCACATAGTAGGTGCCTAATAACTGTTAACTGAATAAAAGCATGAAAAAAATGTATTGATAATACACATTCCTTACAGCTGAAGGTGAGCCTGGATGAGAATAAAAATGTCAGCTATCTTCTTATCTTTGTTTTCCTCAACTGGATCTGTTTTCTGAAAATGGCTTCTATTTCTAAGCATTCTTGTGAGTTCACCCCTCAACAGTACCGATTTTGCAAGTCGGTGATCTGTAGGTTTAAGATCTAGTTTTCCAGCATAAGCACCCCCATATCTGTTTGTGACAGAAACTTGCAGTGTCACTGTAGGCACAGAGACAAGAAAATGTGTTCCCCACAGAGAAGGATTGAAGAGGCCTGTCTGTTCCTGAGGGGAGCCCACCAGAGCCTTTTCATGGCTCTTCAGCATGGTTCATGGTATCTTCCAGAGAGGAACTCGTAGGGATCACTCTGTCATCAACATCCCATGTTCTCAAGAATGCCGGAGCCATGGGAATCCAGAGTTCCAGTTGTATTAAAAGTAAATTTCAAATTTATGGTCTATTTGAATGAGCTCTTCTTTGGTATAAAAGTCATCTGTGTGTTAAAATACTTACTGACTCCCTCAAGAGATTTTTTAAAGGTGAAGCATACTATTTAATCAATTTTAAGCAGCCCTGTTTTTAAATTATCATTGGAAACTGAACTCTTAGGCCAAGGGGTACTTTCACTATGAATTTAGTGAGCGAAAAACGGGTGCAGGGATGGAGCAATGAGGAGGAACTGGACATTAGCAATTGTGTGAGGTAGAAGCCATATTTGGCTCACCCAAGCTGAAGTACCTTCTTTTAAACAATTGCTTCTGTGTTCTTTCATAATTTTGCCTTTGTTCTCTTGAAATCTTGGGGAAGACTAATCTAAGATTCAATTTACTGATCTGATATGAGACATGAATGGCACCACCACAGTAATTTAGTTTTCAATTTGAGAACCTAAGTGCCTTATTCCAACTACTTAATGTGTTGAATCTTTTTTTTTTTTTTTTTAAAGAAGAAGACTAGCACTTGATTCTGTCAAATTATAGGCATATACATTTATTTTTTCAATTCATTGCAGTGGAAATAATAAGTTTTTAGACACCTGAAATTAGGAAGGATAAGTACAACAGTAAAGATTGTTTCATTTTACAGCCAGGAATTAGAGAAATAAATTTTAGGATAAAAATCAAATAGGTGTTAGAGTGTACAAGTTTTTTTCTCCCAGGGTAAGATCTGTGAGCTGCTGTGTCTGGGTACATTTTGTTCTTGAAACATATAAAAAATTATTTCAGTGTAGAAAGATAGGAGGAAGAAGTTAAACGAGAAGACACTCTCTGATCTATAGTCTAGGGCAGCAATTCTGAAAGTTTTAAGTACATCCTAACATGAGGGGATCCTTGCAAATCCTCCGGACACTCTGTGTTTTTGTTTTCCCAGGGTCAGGAGGACAGCTGAGGTGGCTTCCTGGGCAGGGCCAGGGTGGGAAAGCTGGCATCTCCAGGGTGCCCGCCAGGGAGGGAGTGGATGTGTTGTTTCCATGGACACATCACTGTTCCACTTTTCCTCTAGGTGGTGACAAATGTGACTGGATTTAGCCCAGTGAGGTGAGGGCTAGTTTATGAGAAATTTGTTCCCATAAACTTTTTCCAACTTTCTTACCTCCAGTATTTATCCAAGTATGTTATATCCAGGCTAGCACTCTTTGTGATCTTACTTTGGAGATTTTCTTAGTACTTTCTAATGGAATATCTTTAGGCAAATGAGATAATCCAACTTTTTTTTTTTAATCATTAAAAAAGCATACATCTGTATATTCGGGATCCCACTTACTCTCTTAATGCTTTAAAGGCACTGCAACTATGGCTCTCTCTCTGCACTTAGAGCCCTCAGTGAGAATTTCTAGTCTTCCTGGACAACTGTTGGTGGCCATATTTGTGGAACAAGTATGGCTTCAGGGAGAGTTCTAGGGAGCACTGGAGGTACTAAAGGCTTAAGCAAGGGTGTGCCCCAATTGAAAAAGGAAGATGAGGGACAAGGGCCTGCTTGTGTATTTCAATTAGCTAATGAGACAGACGCATTAGAAAAAGGGAGCTTGTGACCACACAGCTCATGCAGGCGAATCAAGTAACCATTAGACAACAGCTGTAATATAAAAGGCCCAAGCCAAAAACAGCAGAGCAGAGCCCAGCTCCTATCCCCTAAAGCAGGACAGCTGAAAACAGAAAGGAGTTTGACAACAGAAAGGAATAAAACAAAACAAACAATCCCTACCGAGGTTTTCTGAAGAAAGGAACATGTAATAATTAGAAGTGAAACATTTAAAAGAGCACTATCTTATGAAAAACTGCCCACCTCATTAATAGACTTCTGGTTCCCTTACCATTGGCCAAGAAAACATTTCATCTTACAGAACCTTTCTGGGTGAGACATTGTATCTACTTAGCAAAAATCCTAAATTGGGATTAACATTATTAGTTTTGCCATGGGAACTTGAAGAGCAAAGCAAAGTCACCTTGATTTAGCATTTGTTTTTAAAAAGTACTCGTTTCTTTCTGACAGCTAATTTCAGTGGCAGAAAATGCTGAGAAATTGGGATGTTAATTTTCAAAGATTTTTTTTCCCCTTAAAACAATCATATCAAAAGTTGTAGCTAATGATAGATGATTGTGTCACAGATTTCCAGGTTACTGCCCAATACAGGGCTTTATAAAATATAAAAAAAGCTGGATCACTTAAGAAAAGTAATTCATTTCTTGCTTTGACTCTTTCCCAGAACAAACATAAAAAATGCATTATTTTTCTTCCCGGTATTAACGAAATATTTTCCAAATCCACTGCATGCCCTGCATTCCTTTATTAGGATCTGATTCAGTTTGTGACTCGGCTGGAAACTGATATCTTAGAATTAATCTGATACGTGCTTTTACCCACTTTTCTCTTGTTTAACGCTTAGATTAAATATACCAATATTCATTTTAATTCTGTTAGGCTTTTTGAAACATTCTACCATACTGTGAGTACAAAGCTTCAGGTCATTTGTTTTCTTTCTTTTTCTCTCTGCTCTTTGAAGAAATTCTAACTTTTGGACACATTCGTTGCTTTAAAAAGTTTCCAAGTTGTGGATCTGTTTTTTTTGACCGAATGTCTGACAAATAGCAATTTAAGGAAAAACCGCATCTACATGGGACACAGAGGTGAATGATAGCCAAGCTGCCTTGAACGCTTCTGATTGCTGTTCAAAACGCAGGCGCAGTCTTTCTGAAAATCCCCAACATTTGCCCCCGCTCTCAGGTCCCAAAGCCCGAGAGCCGAGGACAAGGGTGAAGGGGGGCAGAGACGCGTCCCTGACGCTGCCGGTTCTGTGTTCCCTCTCGCAGGGCTCGGCGACAGGGCTTCCCTGCGCCGCCGCCCTGTCGAGCTGTCGCAAACTTACCGTGATGGCCTGGAGTCTTCCCTTCACCAGCTCCGCTTCTTCCATCCTAGACGTCAAGGACAGGCGGCCGGGGAAGCGGGTCCAAAGCCACCATCAATCAAGGCGCCTCCTCGGGGACGGGCGCGGGGGTGACACGGGAACAGCAGGGAGCAATCCGCGCTCGGCACCCGGTGGAGGGAGGGAGGGAGGGACCCCCGGCTCGCTGGGAGCGCCTGGGCGCAGATGCACAGGCGGGCCAGACAGACACATGGAGTGAGCGAGCCGAGGCAGACGCGGGCTGCTGGCACCGGCTCACGGACAAGTTTGAACGGCAGCGGCACAAGCCCTTTTCCCCCGGAGCTGCCAGCTCTTTGTTGTACCGTGCACGGCGAGCAAGGCACACTTTCTTGTTAACCGTTCCCTCCCCAGCTCGTGGTTTTCCGGGCGTGGCACAGAGAGCCGGTCTCTGCCCCAGCAGCACACGGCATCCTGGGGGTGGGACTGTGGGGGTTTGCACCAGGCTCTCTACCTGCTCTCGGGCTCTGGGGGAGGGCCTCACCTGGAC